TGTTGCCCATGTAAGCGCCAGCGGTGCTCAAGCGGCTGGCTCGAGCCTGAACCAGATTTGTCAGTTTGTCTGGCCACTCCCGCCTGCCTCTGTCTACACACAGCTACGCCTTCTCCAGTGTAAGCACAGCCTGAAGCTCAGCCTGCTCCTTCCACCACTGCAGCCTCCTGTGCCTCCTTTCCGGCTGCATAGATGACTGCTAGTGCCGTAAGTGGTGGGTGTGAAGGAGGATCCATTTTAATTGATCAAAAACTGCCTAGGAGATTTGTCTGGCCACTCCCGCCTGCCTCTGTCTACACACAGCTACGCCTTCTCCAGTGTAAGCACAGCCTGAAGCTCAGCCTGCTCCTTCCACCACTGCAGCCTCCTGTGCCTCCTTTCCGGCTGCATAGATGACTGCTAGTGCCGTAAGTGGTGGGTGTGAAGGAGGATCCATTTTAATTGATCAAAAACTGCCTAGGAGACAAAAGCATAGAGCAGATAGTTAATTTTCATCATAGCAAGAAGATAAACAGTAGAGTGCCTCAAGATGCTATACTCGATCCTGTTTAATTTCTTGGCAAGTACTCCACTTTCGTGTACCAGTATTGGTGAGGAGTTGAGATGAGAGCTATTTATGTTATTTAATCCCCATGACTATTAAGTGCTTTTTGACCATGTAATTGTTTACTTATAGCAAATACACTAATAAGAGTCCAATAAAGATTATTTAGAAAATAAAAAGCACTAAGATAAGGACAAACATTATTAGAAAAGAAAAAATGAATATTTTGGTGAAATATTCCGAATAAACTATTATTAAATCTTCCATTTATCAACAGAAAAGATACATCTGGCTCTGACAAGTTGTCCCACTAGTGTGTTTTAGCTCTGATGTGGAGACTCTAGACCTAAGAGATCATACTCTATGCCTGTTCTATTCTGGGCTTCTGTTGAGGCTTCCAGGAAGGATGTCAAGTTGATCATGCACAATGCAGGCAGGTGGTAAGTGAGGATGAATGGGGCATGTTCTTTTCTTCAAGTTTTTTACTACAGTTCTCCATTTACAGCCTCTTCCTGACTTACAAACCAAGCAATTGGTCATAACTCAGTTCGTTCGTAAGTCGGACTCCATAGAGTTACACGCGACCGCGCTGTTCGTAAGCACGGATCATGTTCCTAGGTTGGGGTCCACCATTTACAACAGCTTTGTCATAAGTCGACCATTAGCAACTCGGGGACCGGCTGTATAGGAATAATTGATATAAGAACCTAGTGTAGTGATCAAAACCACTGGTATAAAATCATTTCTATATGAATGTATATGTTGCTTGTAAGACTGAAATCATCTGGGACAGATGTAATTTTTATAAAAGGAGTGCACTGTATCTTGTTGATACTCCCTTGTAAAGGCTGCCCCACCTCCAATTTGTTTTGTAATTACATGTCTGTACCGAATAATGACAATTGTCAGGATAGTAATAGAGATGTAGCCATGTTAGTCTGGTCTTGCTGAAACAAAAGACAGGACTATGCAGCACTTTAAAGACTAACAAGATGGTTTATTAGGTGATGAGCTTTCGTGGGCCAGACCCACTTCCTGAGATCAAATTGTGGAAGAAAATTGGAATGACCATATATACCAAAGGGATACAATGAAAAAAAGTGAACACATATAAAATTGACAAAATCAGATTTTAGAACAGAGGTGGGATGTGACAGGGGAGGTTAGTGTGTATGAGATAATGATATTAGGGGTGATAATTGGAGAAGCTGTCAGGATGTTCTTAAGTAGCACTTCAGATCCATGGAAACCACTTTCTCTCTAAGTCACTGATAGTTGAGTTTGTTAGCCTTCAGAATACGTTGCAAGGCTTAACTTTCTCCCCTGTAATGGTACTTGTAAGTGTAAGGTGATGGATAGAGACTGTGATCCTGAGGGGAGAGTTTGTGTGTGCATGCAGGCCACAAGGTTATTAGTTTTTATATTTATGTAAATGTTGGGTTGATATGGGAAACTGAAGTGTCTATCTAGATGGATTATCAAGGCTGCTCAGTGTACTGGAAAGGAGCTCTGGTATAGTTTGTAAACATTTACATTAAAATATTAAGCTGGTATTGTGATAGGAATGCCTGGCAGGAATTAGACAGGAACTTCAGCCTCATTTTATGTGTGCAGTCAGGAGACAGTCATACAATAGCTGATGGGCACAGTTGAAACTGGTGTCAGAGGAGAACAGATCCATGCCCTGGCTTCTGAGTCCCTCTCCTAAATCTCTGGAAAAATAGTCATATTGTAAATTCCAATATTTGATTCAACGAATCATTTCTAGCAAGTCTCTTCATAGCGCTGGATAAGGTGTTTGAGTTGCCAGCAAC